CAATTTCTTTCTTAGTTGACCTCTTATCTTACTAACTGAAATGAAATAATTAGTAGATCTGTTCCACCCCAAAATGGGAATGGGCTGAGGTTATGAACTTATAATCTATAATCTGATGATCGAATCGATTCCAGGATTATAAGTTCATTCCATTTGGGGAATTTGGAGTCTTCGAATTTGGGAACTTAGAATTTGGAAATGACTTGACTTGGATTAGAATTGGAGTATAATAATATTGCACCTGACTATGCATGGTTGCAATTGGATTAGAATTGGAGTATAATAATATTGCACCCTCCGATAATTCGGACAAAGGGAGGTAATATATATTATATTCTAGCAAACTAGTCCTAGTCAGGGGGTCGATTTTTCATTGATGTCTCCATATCCTTCGGGTTGTGGAGAAGAAAAAGGGAAAGGGAAAGGGAAAGGGAAAGGGAAAGGGAAAGGGAATTTCAGAAATTAATGGGAAGTAAAAATTGTAAACTGGAGGATAACCCCGAATGTCTTTTCGGAAATTACGCAAAATTTGCGTAGCATATTTGATGTCAAAACTGCGCAAGATACTACGATCGTACTATAAGATGGTTCAGCGTATCGCAGTTTTAGATAAACTTTTGATGTCAAAACTGCGCAAGATACTAAGATCGTACTATAATATGGTTCAGCGTATCGCAGTTTTAGATAAACTTGAGAGACGAGGAAGAGCTCGATTTAATAAGCTGGTTGAATTCATCGAGCAAATAAATGTATTTTCTTATATGGTACTATTCGACATTGTATTGCGAATCAGAGCGCACTATGGAAACAGTGATTATTTGCATTTTGTATTGAAATATATTCGGAATAGAATAATATCTTCTAAAGTAAATTTATATTACGTTCGCCACCAAGGTCTTATAGTTTTGTATATTTTCTTTATACAGCTCTATGTGTATATCTTAGTGGAATATACAATCATTTTTTATACTTTTCTAGCTACTTTTGGACGGTCTCTGACCTACCGAAACATGTTTCTCTATCTCGGAATTACTTATTTCCTATTTGATACCTATGTATCGGGGATCTATAGAGTCTATCAAGAGTTATCAAAATATGTGACGTTTTCTTATATAATTATCACTATTGAATATTATGTAATGATAACCATCACTAGCAATAGATTTCTACCTCTACTTATGGTGACATTTTATCTCTTGTATTTTTTATTGAGAAAGTAAAGTACTAGATATATAAGAGATAGAGAAATCGGCTAGATAGATAAGAGATAGATAAATCGGGATGTGATTTTTAAATTTGGTTCGATCTAATCTTTCCTATTTTTTCGAATAGGAAAGATTCTATACTAAACTAAAAAAAATAGAATCTTACTATATGATATATGAATTCAAATTCTTGTTTATCAAATAAGTTTTTTATGGATCAAAAAATATTTGAGAAATTATGAATTATTAGAGAAATGAAAAAAATAGTATTCTAGGTAACTGGTAATTCAAATAATTGAGATCCGTATCTTAAAATTATTCCGATTGTGATTATATGTTATATACTAGAATATCAAAGAAATATAGAATATTCTATATTTCTTTGATATTCTAGTATTTATTTGATTAGATTATGATATAGTAATTGTGTTATGAAGAGCTAATAGTAAATAGTAAATAGTTAATAACTAGGATCCCGGTAGTTTAGGAAAGAATTCTGAGAAATGCACAATTTGTGTTCTGAGAGCCCGCTTAGCTCAGAGGTTAGAGCATCGCATTTGTAATGCGATGGTCATCGGTTCGATTCCGATAGCCGGCTTTTTTCTCTCTATTTTTTTTTTTTCATTTTTGACAGAAGGGATAATCTCTTTTTTTTTTAGGAAAAAAAAAGAATAGGGTGTTCCTTTTCTGTAGAACAAATCAAGAAAATAACCGCCTTTTTTTTATTTATATAGATATACAATAGAATTAAATTCGGATCCTGATAGAATCTTTCCAATTCTTCTTTGTACTACACTATATTTAGAATATTTTTTGTCATTTAGTTTAGTTTTAATTTTTCTTTATGAAATTTTCCATTTAACAAAAAAGGAGTGTTTATGTCACGTTACAGAGGGCCTCGTTTGAAAAAAATACGCCGTCTGGGGGCTTTACCAGGACTAACCAGTAAACAGCTTCCAGTTGGAAGCGAACAATCGCGCTCCAGTGAAAAAAGGGAAAAAAGGGAAAAAAGGGAAAAATCTTACTATTCTATTCGTTTAGAAGAAAAACAAAAATTGCGTTTTCATTATGGTCTTCCAGAACGCCAATTGCTGAAATATGTTCGTATCGCTGGAAAAGCGAAAGGGTCAACCGGTCAAGTTTTACTTCAATTACTTGAAATGCGTTTGGATAACATACTTTTTCGATTGGGTATGGCTGTGACTATTCCTCAAGCCCGTCAATTAGTTAACCACAGACATGTTTTAGTTAATGGTCGTATAGTAAATATACCAAGTTATCGTTGTAAACCTGAAGATATTATTACAGCCAAGGATGAACAAAAATCTAGAACTCTGATTCAAAATTCTCTTCAATCAGCCCCCCGCGAAAAATTGCCAACCCATTTGACTCTTGATCCATCCCAATATAAAGGATTAGTCAATCAAATAATAGATAGTCAATGGGTTGGTTTGAAAATTAAGGAATTGCTGGTTGTAGAATATTATTCTCGTCAGAC